TAAGACTGTGAACATAAGCACTTAGTGTATGATTTGAAGTCTTGGATGCACTTAACTTTAGCCATAATATTCTAATCTGAGGCCTTGTTATTTTATGGCATGAACTTCAATAAATAATAGCTTTATAAAAATAACACATAAGCATGCAGGTCAAGGCACAAACCACATCGAGGTGCTTTGTCTTTTTAATATTCTGCATTTATGTTCTTCCTCGAGACCTAAATCTAGGGAGAGTCTATTATGTCAAGAGCAGCTCATTTCACTTCTGGATAGTTCAAATTGTTAGCAAGTTTTTTTTTTTTCCAGCACCAATTCTCTTTGCAACTTCTATCTATCACTCCTAGTTCTGTCCTGTAGAGACAAAGAGCACAGGTTTATTCCCTTTTCCACAAGACAGTTCCTCAAATGATTTAACACAGTCAGCATGTCCCTCCCAAGTTTCCTCAAGGCTAAACATATTCAGTACCTTCAACCACTCCATATATAAGCTGTAGAATCAAGGCCCTTTGCCATCTTGATTGATCTTTTCTGGATATTTTTTCAGCTTAGTGTTCTTCTTAAACTGTAATGCCCCAAACCAGTCAAACAAGTATTTATTAAGCACTTTGTATGTTCCTGTCACTGAAATGAACACAATATTCTAAAGGTTGCCTGATAAGATCATAGTACAATGGAAATACCATCTCATTCTTAGAAGGTATCCCTCTTTTTATTTTTTTATTCTAAATTTAAACACCAAATAACATGAAAATTTTCATATACAAGTAGAATAAAAAGAGAGTTGCACATGAGACTGTGAATCTCTATTAGGTACAGTTTAGTTTCCCTTTTAAGTATGTAACAAATTAAACATGTAATTTTCAAAACTATCCTATTTGTGTTTCCTTCTAGCCTTCTTTCCATTTTTTTCAGTGCCTTAGAAAAGAAATGTTCAATGAACTTCTTTTATTTTATTTCCTTTGTTTTGGCAGCCCTATCACTAAGTCTCTTCCTTCTCATTACTCTGCCCCTCTAACTTTCAACAAATATGTATCTTGAAGCAAAACACATTCCTTCATTGACCCTGTTAGAAAATGTATGCCTCCTTCTGTACCTTGGTCTAACACCTTTCCGTCAGGAAATGGATAGCATGCTTCATCCCTGGTCTTCTGATATTGTGGGTGATTATTCTTTTGATTAGAGTTCTTGAATCTTTCCAAACTGTTTATCTTTATAATTTTTTTTTATTATTGCATAAATTGTTCTCCTGGTTCTATTCAGATCCTGAAATAATATGGATGATGTTTAAGGTAAAATTTCAAATATTAACCTGAGGGATAGAAGGAGATTTTGTGTTCTTTTCTCCATTAAGTTGTTGAAATCTCAGCATTAGCTATTGACAAGGATTTATATGCATAAGATTACTATTGACTATTGTAAACACAGTGTTTTAAGTTAAAGAAAGCCACATACTTATGTTCTGCTGGAAAGCATCAATAGCAGTGAAAGAAATATAAATGTTGTAAGCAAGATGAGTGTAGAAGTAGTTCCAAATTTGCAGAAATTACAAGCATCCTTAATTCCAGACAAGTAAGATTCATCATTGGATTAGATAGTTGAAGATCTCACCCACCATCACACACACAAACATGTGCACTAGTACCCCCAAGGGGTGGCCTTATGGTCAATATAGAAACATTGGTAATGTCTGTTGGGAAGGACACTTGCTCTGGACTCTTCTACTTTCTCACCAGTATCCTTACCAAGGCCACGCTGAGGCCTGTTCTCTTGATTGGTGACTCTCTAGCCAAGAACACTACTAAGTAAATAGTTTCTCACTCTCGCTGTCACTCCTGTTCTCATCTATCCCTCTCACTCATCTATTCATCTGTTGCCTTGGAAACAATACAAGATAGAACTATATTCAAGTTTAATTTTTACTCCCTCCAACATTAACCTCTCACAGCCCCCACAGGAAGGGGCCTCTCTAGGCTGGGGAGCAAAATTGGCATGATTGGTGGGATGTTTTGGTCAATGTGGTACAGAAGAAAACATACTGACACAGAAGTCAGAGCCTTGCCTCAGATGCTTCAATGACCTTGAGTAAATCAAAGCCACCCTGGGCCTCAGTTTCATCATCTGAACAAAAGAGGGAGCTGGATGATATTGCTATAAACAACCAGACAGGTTGTACCTTACTTTGTGCCTGGGGTAGGGGGGAAGGCGGTGAATTATTGAGTCAATGACCATACAAAATAGCAACCAGCCCTCTTATCCTTGTGTTAGAGATATGTAAAGGTACAAAAGGTCAGAGTTACTTTAGGAATTTTACAATTATCTTGCTTACTCCATCCCAGAAACCTTTAAAATACTTTTCTATTGGACAATCCACCAGTTTGGTACCAACTCCTACCGTTAAGCATGCAAGACAATGCATATACCAAAAGACAGGTTTCACATAAACATAACCATTTTTTAGTGACTAATTACTTTATAAAAGATACTTTGAATATTGGACAGATCTCAGAAAGCTTATATAAAAGCAGAATATTAATTTGCTCAAGCTACACAAATAATGTCGGAGGAACATAGCCTTAGTCTTCTGAATCCAAATCCATCCTTTACTGTGCACTATGATGACTTTCCAAATCATTCCATTATCTTCATAAATAAATTTAGTGCAGAATAATAATAGGGTATGTAAAGAAAATTTCACTGTCAGGCCTCCATTCTAATTCAGTCAAATAAACAGGCAAAAGAAACAAAAAGTCCTTACGTTCTTCCTGTGTGGTTTTGTTGTTGTTGTTTCCTCAAACAGAACATTTAACTTTAGGTCTATGTGTGCCATCTAGTGGCTACTTCAAGAACATTTTAGAAACCCAGTGGGTAAGAGATGAAGTAAATTGACATGGCCATAGAATCTTGCTTTCTATTTCTTCTTCTAGCATCTAATCTATTGAAAGGGAAAAATTTTCTCATATTTTATGATGTTACTCTAACTCACTCTTCTATTTAATATGCAAAATCTCTAGCTTATATGTCATCATCTTGAGAATTCTAAAGTACAGTGAAGGGGGTGATAAAAGAAATAGGGTAAAAAGTGAGTTCAGGCATAAAAAATAAAAGTTTAGGTTGCATTAAGAGGAACAAGTGCAATAAGGAGGTAGGGAAAAATGAATCTTGAATGGCACAAGAATATATTCTGTGGTATGAGAAGATGGGGACAAATTCAAGCTTGTTAAGGCACGAAAAATTGATCCCAGATTACATGGGTGTTGTATTGCAGGATGATGGAAGATTCATGAAATACTGGGAAACAAATAAAATAGTCAAGATGAAGTTAACACCTAGGCTGACAAATGGCATACTTTATTTATTCCATAATAAAATCAATCTTTCAGAATATTTGATTATTAATGGAGGTATTGTGGGAGGGGTTGCAATAAGTTTGGCTTAATCCTTTTATGGGGAAAATGTTTCATTCTGTAAAACAATAACAAGATTATTACAGTAATCTACCAGATTTGGGTAGCACCTTGCTTCCTGGAGAGAGAGACAAAGAAAGAGAGAAAGAGAGACAGAGAGAGAAATTCTGAAATCCCTTTTAACTCTGTATTTATGACTGTATTATCATGGGGTTGGAGATGGTATTCAAAATCCACTCTGAAGCTATGTGAACTTGGGCAAATCATTTAACTTTCCTGATCCTCCATTTCCTCATATGTAAAATGAATCTGTTGAATTAGGTGGCCTTGGAGGTCCCTTTCAGGTAGCAATGAATATCTAGGGAAACCATATTGAATTTGGCACTAGACAGAAGACTCTCTGCTACTGACCTGATCAGAAAATGCTGATAATTCTTATCCAAATCATAAGCTTGAATGGTGTAATTTCCTTTGGGAGAACACAACACTGGTGCAATAAATATTAGAGGACAGAGTCCAATCATAAAAGTTCTAATCTGCATAAAGCATCTTTATTAGGTAGGGTGGGTGAAATATACCATACTTTTCAGTTGTTATATTTAGACCTTTTGCCCCATGTTTACTTAAGAAATAATCACTTCACCTGATAACTTGTCTTGAACAGGGATGAACTTTGCGGTATTTGATGAATTATTGAGGAATTAAATGCAAATCTTTTGGTATGGATGTTCCTATACTGAGGAAAGATAGAGACACTTGGCCCTGAGTTTGCAGTCATTATTTTATTGTCATGAAAAATGGGGGCTGTCAACAAGATTCCAAGTTGTGTCAACTCACCAAGTTACACTATCTTATAGATTCATTTTATTATTTTAATCTGAAACTGATAATAGAGACATTAAGAGTTTCAAAGCATCTGTGTTTATAATTCCCAGAGTGAGTTATTGACATACATTGTTCACACTTAATAGATTCCCTTTGTAGCCCTATTTCTTCGGATGAGAAATACACATAGAATCAAAGTGATGTTATCATTAAGCAACAAAGCAACCATAAAACTCATTCCAAGTCTATATAAAACTTTAAAAATTACCAGAGGTTTGTATTATCTGTCCTATATGACTATGTATAAATAGAACTGATCCCTTCCTGGGTTTTGTCATATAGGAATACTTTGGGAAAGAGTATAGTTCAGTGAAAAAAGTTCTGGCTTTGGAGCCAAAGGATCTGAGTTTAAATATGGATTCTAACACTACTGGTATGACTTTAGGCAAGTCACTTAAACTCCCTGAGCCACTATTTCCTCATTTGTAAAATGAGGGCAGTGAACTATATTTTCAAGGTCCCTTATTGATCTAATTCTATCATTCTACAGTGAGAAAGTATGTTTAAATGTTAACTGAAAATCAAATATGATTAAAGGTGCAAAATGATGAATCCACACAATCTAAAGAGAATGTCTATACAACTAAAATTAAAGTAATAACATAACCACAAACATGCAAAATGGCAAGAGTAATGGAGAAAAGGAGGAAGGAAGCAGAAAACACTTTTTTTTTTTTTAGTAACAGAAGTTTATTTATTTTCACACATGTTTGAAAATGGTGCTATTTGGGGCCATGAAGATGGAAGGCAGAATGTTCTGTATCTTCAATATAAATATAAATTATTAACTCATTAGAAATGATTACTCCAGTAACCCCTCAAAACAAATAAGTCTATGGGAGAAGAGACAGAGTAATTCAGTTAGTACATATGTAAAGAATAAAAATTATGAAAGTATCCATAATGTAGTCAGGAGGATACCAAACATGCAAGATTTCCACAGTTTTTGGGGAGAGAAAGCAGAATGTTTACTACTCTGTCCCTGTTCTGGGTGACTTCAAACAGAAAATTGGGTCATCATATCCTCCAAATTAAATAATGCCTTGTGTATAGCTCAGATATTTGTCATGGGTAATAAAAAAATACAGAAAATAATTGAGACATTATTGCACACATACACACCTTTTAAACAATCATTCAGCCCTTTTACAAAGTTAGATTTCAGTATAGAAACAGGCTGTATATAACCACATCTGTTGCTTTCACAAGCAGTGCTAAATATATCTATTTTATATGTATATAATATACATTTTTCCTGAGAATCCAAGCACAATACCTATTTTTTTGTTTCCCAGTTCACATATTAACAGCAAGAAGCATTTGTTCTACAAAAACTAGATCATTTTCAAATGGCAAATTTTTATGCACAAAAACCAGTTTTCAAGGATTTTCATGATTTTTTGTAATTAAGATCAAGGATGAAATATGTTTTTCTGTCACTCTGTATAGTTTTGAATTTTTTAAAAAAAATCATCCATTTCACCCACATACAATTACAAATCCTCAAACATTTAACCCCATTAAAAACTAGTCATTTATTTGAAAAAAAAGCCACTATTTTTTGCACAGATACACAAGAAGTAAAACTATCAAAAATTCACCTATCATTTTTTTTTCATACAAAAACAACCTTGTCTTTTCAAAGGTGAAACAGTGTTCAGTTCACTACGGAGTCTTTTCCACGCAGACATCTTGCATGAGAATTTTCAGTCTTTGACAGTCATATGGAGAATTTTAAAAATTGAAATGTAATGTCTAGCATATAACAGGAGCTCCATAAAGTTAAGGCTCCATTTAAACAATGCACATGGGAAAAGAAAACTCCCAATCTCACCTCCCTTATTTCTAAGTGCTTGAATCAGGGCCAGCATACATTATGAATGTCATTAAGTTCTAGGAGTGTTACCCAGCTGAACCCAGGTCTAGATTTGCTTTGGGAAGTATTATTTACTTAGTGATTGGGGACTGGAGGTAGATAATATATTTCCTGTCCCAAAACTATGTTAGCCTAGTCCTTGAAGCTCTGGGTCTTCCTAGAACATAAAGATGTGTTTTTGTTTCTTTGTTTTTGTTTTGTCTTCTAGATAAATGTAAAATACAAAATGTTTCCATTGCAGGAAGCACATCTAAACTTTTTGTTATGTAATGAGATTTCTTGAAAATTAGATGAATATATGTTATCTTCTAAGTGAATGCTTTTGGTTATCTTGTTGATTGGTTAATATCTAAGAATAGATTTTGTACCTCACAATAAACTAATAATTGTTTAATACACTGATATACATCTATATCTCCAATTAACTAATTCTGTTAGATCTCTGAATTCTTCAAGGAGATTCCCGCCCCCCATCCCTACTCAAGATGTGCCATTGTACTTACTGAGATCCTGATCTATTCCCAATTTTAATATGAAAGAAAAATGATTAATGTTCTGTTTCTTGGTTTTATATTTGGCATAACAATATATAATCATTTTGCTTCTTTTTTCTATCCTAGAAATATGAAGTGTACCCTTCTTTCCAAGAAAAGTGAACTTCTATTCTACCATACTCTGGTATTATCAATGACCACAGAAAAAAACAGGTCATTAATTGCCTCTACCAATGCAGGGGATGGAAGAACTCTACTCAGAGTACCTCAACTTCTATTTTTTAAAAAGTGAACCAGAGAAGGAACTCAGCATGCTTCTGCCTTTTCTTCCCCAATTCTTCAGAAAAAAACAAACGAACAAACAAACAAAAAAAACCAAATGAAGCTGAAGGGTAATCAGATATTGTTGATTAATTTTCAGCAAAACTTAGATAGAACCTAGATGAAGAAAGGAAATGTTAAAATATTCCTATGTTGGAAGAACAAAAAAGGAAAGGTATATGCTACATGAAAATGAAGGAATAGAGGAGTACAATAATATAGAAGAGGACTAATCAAAATAATTTGAGTTTTAAATCAGTCCTTTTGGGAGTTACTATGCAATCCTCAGTTAAAATGTAACAAATAACTTTATTGATATACATATTCTCTCCATGATTGTAGTCCATGAAAACAACACTTATGATTCTTTCTCTGATGACAGGGCAGCATTCTGCAATAACCTATCTTAAGTCTCAGATGAATGGAAGGATGAAGGACTACACTCACAAGCTCCCTAAATAACTGAAAGGCTTGGGAAAAATGCCCATATTCATGAAAATGAAAAGACAGGTGATTGAATGGTTTTCATTTTCATGCACAGGATCTAGAAGAACAAGGCTTACACTTGAATAAAAAGTGGTTGATGCATATTTTGTTTCTGCACGGGCTAAGGTAGAAACTGTGGCAACAATATTCATATATTTCCCATTGGCCTTTCAAGTTAATTGTTTCTCATGAAGTATTGAACTGACAGCTTTTGAGAAAGTAAAAAAAAAAGTTGAATTATTGCCACTGACTATATATAGACAACATAGCTGGTGACAGCTCTTTTACCTCGGACATTGAAACATTGGAAATCTCAGTCCTTAGCCAGTGTAAACTTCAACTTTTGTACTGAATCTCTCACCAGACAGTACTAGAGATAGGAGCAATTTTCTCATGTGTAATTGTATTCTATAGATTTCGTAACCAACTTGATCATGAGGCATTTTCAAAGGTATGATGAGGGGTATGGAATTTTTTTTAATGTAGCGGCAACCTAATAATAGTCCTTCAGAAAAAAAAAATATTTCTAGTTAGCTTTAAGATCAATGTCTCAGCTTCTCCCTAGTATGGTCTGTGCACACAAACTATGTTAAATCTGGATTATTTGAGCCAATGTTACTGACGATCCCAATCATGACAATGTTGTCTTCTGTATCCAAAGTGTCTCTTGTTACCTGTAAAAGGAAAGTTAGCAAGTTACTCCCTTTTAAAAGTTAAGAAGTTTACAGCTTTTAAAGGGTATAAATAAATAGGTTAAATACCAAGTCTCCAGGAGTCTTTTTTTTTTTTTTTTTGGTTATCTGACAGTCTAATTCTCCAACCTGTGGGCTGTTGAAAATTTATAGAAGAAAATCCTCTAGGAAAAATGTATTTGTGGGGCAGCTAGGTGGTGCAGTGGATAGAGTTCCAGCCTTGGAGTCAGGAGGCCCTGCCTCAGATACTTGACACTTACTACCTGTGTGACCCTAGGTAAGTCACTTAACCCTGATTGCCTCACCAAAAAGTATATATATTTCCCTCTGGAGTAGTAAAGAGAAAACTCCATCCCATATCTATTTGACCTGTACACAATAGAGCAAGGTGAAGATAGGCTGATATGTACCCTTGTCTTCCCAAAAGTCTTAGAGTAATCATGGTTAATGAATAGAAGATTAATTTCATGATGTGAAATCAGACTGAAATGAAGTTAATATGATATAATGATATGAAGCTGATATTCAATTCAATTCAATAAACATCTATTAAGTGCCTTCTATGGACCAGGCACTGAATTAAGCTCTGGAGGTATAAATGGAGGTATAAGATAGTCCCTGCCCTCAAGGAGCTTAAAATCTAATGGAGGAGATAATATGCAAATAAATGTATACAAAGCAATCTACATACAGGGCAAATAGGAAATAATTAACATAGGAGGAGCACTGGGATAAAGAGGAGTTGGGAAAGGTTTTCTGTAGAAGCTGGTATTTTAGTTGGTACTTAAAGGAAGGCAGGGTGGTCAATAGTCATGGTAGAGGAGGCAGAGCATTCCAGGGATGGGGGACAGTCAGAGAAAATACCTGGAATGGAGAGGGATGGAGCTTCTTTTTCATGCAGCAACCACTAGACCAGTGTCACTGAATTGAAGAGCATATTTTAGGGAATAAGGTGTTAAGAAGACTAAAAAGGGGGCAGCTAGACAAAGCAGTGGATACAGCACTGACCCTGGAGTCAGGAGGACCTGAGTTCAAATCCGGCCTCAGACATATGATACTCACTAGCTGTGTGACCCTGGGCAAGTCACTTAACCCCAATTGCCTCACCAGAAAAAAAAAAAAAAAGACTGAAAAGGTGGGAGAGGGTTAGGCTATGAAGGGTTTTGAATGCCAAACAGAATTTTATATTTACTGCTAGAGGTAATAGGGAACACCTAGGGTTTACTGAGTAAGGAGGTGATGTGATCAGACATATATTTTAAGAAAATCACTTCAGTATCTGAATGGAGAATGGATTAAATGGTATTAAAGGGTCTGTACATTGTATGTTTGTATATTTGAGTCTTGTTTGTGGATGAGACAGAAAGACAGATGGAGTGAACTCCCTCTCAAGTATAACATTGTGTTTAACACATGGTGACCATCTGATCCTGGGGAAGTCATTCAACATCTCATCATTCTGTGTTCAAGTCTTGCTTCTTCACATATTAACCCTATGACGCTGACGACTTCATTTAGCCACTCCATACCCCAGCCATCTCTATAAGGTTAAAAGTCACAGAAAGGTTGTAAAGTTCTTTATGAATATTAATTCATTTTAATCCTCACAACAATCTTGGGAAGTAGGTGTAATTATTATTTCCATTTTATAGTTGAATAAATTGAGAGATTAAGTGACTTGCCCAGAGTCACACAGCTAGGAAGTGCCTGAGGAGGGATTGGATCTCAGGTTTTCCAGAGTGTACCATCTACCTGATTTATTAGCTAACAACAACTAATAATACCTTGACATAAGTTTTCAAGGCTGATTACAAAAATTATCTCATTTGATCTTAACAACAACCTTGCAACATAGTGAGTTCCTTGTCATTAGAAATCTTCAAGCAGAAGCTGAACTACTAACAACCATGATATTGTAGAATAGGAATCATTGTGTTAGGATTGGCCTACATGTCCACTAAGGTGCCTTCCAACTCCAAGAACCTATAATGCTATGCCTTCTCTACTTCTTATTTTATATCTATAAAGCCCATCATAATTGTAGGGTAACTGAACTTTGGGTTGTTCACACAGAAACACTCACAGTTTTTAGCTGTATGACCCTTCTTTTGAATACCATGAAAACACTGAAAGTGAAGAACTATGCTATGTCATCAATAGCTTTTTTTTGTTTGTTTGTTTGTTTGGAAATGTACTTACTTATTTTATTTTCTTTGACCTGCATACACAATATGCAATCATGGATACAACAAAGATGACAAGACCAACAGTGAGTAAAACCATTTCTACCAGTCCCAAGAGGTTTATTTTGCCAGTTACTCGTTTTCTGAACATTTCAGCTTTTTCGTCACCAATGGTACCAGTCTGAAATCAAGGCAAAGTACTATTACTTATGAAGCAGCAAAATGGATAATGAACATATAACAAATACTCTTCTCTTGCATTCTTCTACAAGTGCATTTTCACATATGAAAGTATGCCTGAGAAGCTTAAGAAATTGTGATGAGTAACTAGGATTTATATGGGGCTAACCCAGGAAAAGAAGAGAATCATGGCTAAATGGCTTTCTACTTAAGAGGAAAACATCCATGCCCTAGGCTTTAACCTACTAAACGTTTTTACTCTTTGTGGACCAAGGGAGACATGGGATAAAGATACATGCAAAGTGCACTGAAACACTGATGTTGCTTCAATGCTTTTTAAAATTTTTTTCATTCCATTTGCTTCTTCGTTTCCACTACTTTCCCCTTATTGTAAGTAGCTGCTTCCACCAAACTCTTGTTTCTGTCCACTTCCTTTCTCTTTTACAAACAAGGTCAGGACTGAATGATAAGGCTTGAGCCAGTGCATGAAAACTGCAAGTTAGTGAACTATAGGCCTTTTTCTTATTTGCTATCCTTAACCTGTCTCTATTCCCAGGAAGTCACTTTGATAGTAACAGTGATCAATGACTGCCTAAGATGCTAACTTGTGGTAAGACTGATCAGCTATCTGTAGCATGCTGTCATCAATCATTTGTTCATCAGTGTCAGAAGGAAAGTTCAAAGAGTCTTCTGGTTCATTCCCACTCCAGGGGCTCAAAGTATTTATTAGTTTTGTGACTAGTTGTCTTGAATGATTACAAAACAGTTTCAAAGTCTTTTAGCATCAATCTATACGGTATTTGTAAACTTGTCCTTGACTTGGAATTATGAAAACAAAATGTACCTCAACATGACCAGACTGAATTAGGACCACTCCATGAAAAAGGTATAATTTGCTAAGGGTCAAACAAATTTCTATGATATTCTTTTGTTCCTTTCCTATTGCAATACCCTGTATAAGTAGCTATTTTAGATAAAGGTTTAAGGTAATTCTAATGGTACTAATTGGCAGAACATATTCTTGCACACACAGATGATCAGTACTGCCTAAATTCATCAACATGTCATTAGAACAGTGAAAAAAGACAACAACAAAAAAAAACCCCCAAACAAACACATCCAATCCAAAACCACAAACACATAATAAATATAGAACATATTTTGAAGCAAACATAGAGGGAGAAGGAAGAAGTTTGGGGAAGGTTTTAAGTTCAAAAAGAGACCTACCATTAAAAGACTTTTTTTAGAAAGAAAAATCTCCTGACCTTTAGTAATTAATGTATTCAAAATACTCACCTCATTAAGCCAAAGAACTGGGACAATATAGTTCCGTTTCAGTTTACTTAAAGTGCTGTAACACAATGAAAGAGATTTTTAAAAAATGAAATACACATTATTCCGTTCAACCACTTATTAACCACTTTTTACATGTAATGAGTTATGCTAATTGTGTTAGGGCTACAAAGATGAAAACAGTTCCTAAGAGCAAGGAGCTTACAGTCTTCTGTGTGAGTTATAATCTATATACCAAAACCAAGTATAATGCAAGGTATAATATAAGAGAGGCAAATGAGAGATCTGGACAAAGTGCCCTCTGCAAATGTGAGGAGGGGGTGGTGGTTAGGGGGCATGGAAGGTTTCATGAAAAAGGTGGCACCTGAGCTAAAAATGGAAGGAAGAGAAAGATTTCAAAAGACTGACTACCCAGAGGCACAACCTAGCACAGGAATTTCAGAGAACAGGTAATAATTCCATTTCCCAGAAGGTAGGGGGTATGAATAAGAGTTTAATGCACTTGACTCTGGCTTTAGAGGCATTTGGCATGAAAACCTTGGGGACCAGGTACCTGTCCGTTGGAGTTGTTTGTTTTGTTTTATAGGGTTACCCAACATTCCAAGTTTCTGTGATTTTCTCCCTGACTTTGTACTGACTTCTGAGAAGAAAGAGGAAGAAAAGCCATCCCATGAGGCTTTAGGGGCAGGTAGATCTATCAGCAGCAGGCTGTGATTGCCAGGAGGAGAAGATACTAGAAATGTTCAGACTATTTAGATTGAAAGTTAAAACTGAGATATAATCTGCATTGCTGATATAGATGGTGAGTAATAAGAGACCTCAGCTGGCTGAAACCTTCCTGGCCCTTCTGTGTGAACTTGAAGAAAGAAGATTTGCTCACTGTTAGGAATTCCCCCCCCCCCAAAAAAAATAACAAGAACAAAAAGAAACCCAACCAAAAAGCAATCTTAATTTCCTGTTCCTTTTCCTTGCCCTCCACAAAAGCTAGGGAAATCACTGATACAGGGAAGGGTTTCAATTGCTCTATTTGACTTTGATTTTTTATGTTAGCAAAGATGTTTATATAAATTCTAATATTCTTTAATGTTGATTTTAGTTTGGTTATCATGAATTATTTGAAAGAGGAAGGATGAATTTCTACTTACAAAGAAAGTCTGTGAGTGTGTGTGTGTGTGTGTATTGTATACACATACATAGGTATACATAAATACACACATATACACACACAAAAATAATTTTATATTTTGCTCAGCCACATTGGATTAGGGCCATAGTCAAAGAAACAGAGTTCTGGTGTTCTTTCCACATAACTTTGCCTTGCAAATATATCTGAGCCTAACAGAAATATGCTCAGAAATCATAAGGAAGTCCATGAGCTGGAGAGAAAAAGTGCTTTTAGTCTAATGGGTTATAGGTGACTAGATGCCTTTGAACCATATCAGTTCACAAGAATTCAGTTATATAGTATGTGCCTTCATAAGCTGTTGAGTCACATATTCAAAGTTTAGCCTAGTCAGAGGGAGAGGAGTTTCTCATGAATGTGCCTTGAGTATGAGCTGAAGGGCTAGACAATGAATTAGCTTTAAAAAGGGTTAGTGCCTAAAGCTGTCTGCTTATAGGGAGAAGGCTCCTGCCCTTGCTTATTAGCTGCCGAAATAATTAGATGAGGAACCTAAAATAGGTCTGCAAAGGTGAGTGGCAGATGATGGAGAGTCTTAGGTTCTAAAGAAGTCTGAATTTTACCTTCTTGGCATTAGGCAATTATTGAAGGTTTTGAGCAGAGGAGGGAGGGAGGTGTCTACACATTAAGAATATTATTTTGCTCTCAGTATTAGGGTAGTTGGAGGGAATATATATATTATGTATATTATATATTATAATATGATATATTATAATTATGTAATATATAATACATATATACTATATAATATAATATAAAATATAATATATTGGGTGTAAGTATATATGTAGGTATAAGCATATATACAATTATATGCAATTATTATAATATAATATATTATATAATACATGTTATATATTATGTATAATATGTATAATTTATTATATATACAGAGACAGAGGGCACAGGGTGAGTTGAATATGAAAGGATGATATCTAAAAAATAAAATTAAGGAGTGTGAGAGAGGAATGTACTAGAAGAAGGAGAAAGGGAGAGGTAGAATGAGGTAAATTATCTCACATAAAAGAGGCAAGAAAAAGCTTTTCAGTGGAGGGGAAGAGAAGGGAGGTAAAAGGGAATGAGAGAATCTTACTCTCATTGGATTTGGCTTAAGGAGGGAATAACATACACACTCAATTGGGTACGGAAATCTGTCTTACCCCATAGGAAAATAGGGGGGAAAGGTAATAAGAGAGGAAAGAATGATAGAAGGGGGAGGATAGATTGGGGGATTGGGTAATCAGAATCAAAAACTTTTGGGGAGGGACGGGGTCAAAGGAGAGAACAGAATAAATGGGGGGCAGGATAGCGTGAAGGGAAATATAGTTAGTCTTTCACAACATAACTATTATGGAAGTGTTTTGTATGACTACATGTGTATAACCTATATCAAATTGCTTGCCTTCTCAATGAGGGTGAATGGGGAGGGAGGAAGGGAGAGAATTTGGATCTCAAAAGTTCTAAAAAGTAATGATAAAACTGTTTTTACATGTAACTGGGAAATAAGATATACAGGCAATGGGGTATACAAATCTATCCTGCCCAACAGGAAAATAGAAGAGGAAAGGAATAAGAGAAGCGGGGGGGAGTGATAGAAGGGAGGACAGATCGGGGAAAGGGTTTTCAGAATGCATGCCATTTTGGGGTGGAGGGAGGAGAGAAATGGGGAGAAAATTTGGAACTCGAAATATTGTGGAAGTGAATGTTGAAAATGAAAAATAAATAAATTAATTAATAAAAAATAAAACAAAACAAAAAAAAGAATATTATTTTGGCAATGGTATGAAAGATGACTATAGAGAGAAGGAGCTAGTGGCAGAGAGACTGCTCCAGATCAAAAGTGATGAAGGCTTGAAGCAGGGTGTCATAGTATTAGGATCCATGAGAGGATAGATGAAAGAGATATTGTGGACACAATCAGGCAACAAATTGTGTGAGGAAAGTGCAGGAGAAAGAAAAGGAATTAAAATTTTCCTGTCTAGATAGCTAAGAGATTTTCAGTGCTCTTTATAGATAATAGCAAGAAGGAAGAATTTTAAGAGAGGAGAGATCAACTCCATTAGACTCAGTTTGATGGAATAGCAAGACATTCTGGTGGAGATACTCAACAGGAAGTAAAAGGTACTAGAACAAAATTCTCAAGAGGGGTGTGCAGATTTTTCAAAATCCAATAGTTTAAATATTCATCATTTAATGATTGTCAGACCCATACATTTTAATTGTTGTTTTTCAGTCTTGTCTGACTCTTTGTGACACAATTTGGGGTTTTCTTGGCTCAGATACTGGAGTGTTTTGCCACTTCCTTCTTCAGCTCATTTTACAGAAGAGGAGCTAAGGCAAACAAGGTTAACAGGGTCACATAGCTAGTAAGTGTCTGAGGCCAAATTTGAACTTAGGAAGATGAGTCTACCTGACTCCAGGCCTAGCACTCTGGCAGGGGATACACTATGTCATGTCACTGCCCTCTCTTGATTGTTTATAATGTGTCATTTATGCTCCTTAACACAGCTGATATTGAATTATTAAATAAAAGTCATTTGCAAAATAAGTTAACAGTAGATATTTTGTTTTTAAACTTGGTGACATTTGAAGTTTGATCTTTAATAGGTTCAATCCACTAGCTCCATTTGGTCTAATTAGAAGAGATTTTTTTTTCATCCACATTAAAATTCTAAACCAGATTCAAAAAACTTACTCAATTTTTTTTACTGGTTTAACGAGGATGTTAACCTGCAGTCGTTTCGCAAATCGCAAAGTAAATCCAGTGATCTAAAACAAAATAAGAATGAAATAAAATTACCCCTCCAGACTTATATATTGACTGTCAGGAATTTATGATTAGATTTCTTATATAATAGTAATAATAATAATAAATCTACAGCAATTTATAGTTTGCAAAGCACTTTACATATATTATCTCATTTAATTTTCATAGCCCACAAGCCTCTTTTACAGATGAACAAACTGAGGCTGACAGAGGTGACTTTGATCTGCCCAGGCTTGCATATAGCTCATAAGTGTCTGAACCAGGATTTGTACTCAGGTCTTCAAGTTCAGTGCTCTATCAACTCAGCCCAGTGTGCAAGTATGTATTGGTATAAGTATATATTTGCAATGTTTGTGTATTTATATACACTTATGTGTTCTCTATATAGATAGATATGTACATATATACATTTATTCACATATATATGAATATATGCGTATTCACACACAAAGAACAAATCCACAGACATGATTGTGACAATCAGATTGTGTTATTCAATCATTTTGTGTATGATAAATTGGATCAGAAACTTATCTATACCATGTGGTCATGAAAATAATGAAATAATAGGACTAATTCTTACTTAGCTTTAAAATCTAAATTGATAGCTTGAAATCAAGGTAATACAAAAAGCTTGTGATTTGTGTTGTTCCAGAGTGTGCCCATGTTGCTGAAATAGTAGATTCTTGAAATCTTGAGGAAAATATTAAGTTCAGATTTGAACCAAAAGAACTGCCTTGTAAAAGTTTGTCTATTTACAAATTAAAATGGGATTATCTTGATATTATATAAGCATTACTTAGATCATAGAGGTAGAGACCTGCAAGGGACTTCAGAGTCACTTGATTTTACAGATGAGAAGATAATTCCTGGAAAGTTTAGTGACTTGCTCAAGGATATTCAAGTAACATAAGTATTAGAGGCAGGATTTGAATCCAGAACCTCCAAATCCACTGTACTAGGCAGAAAATCATACTTTATTATTATTGGTTACAACAGTTTACATTTTACAGAGGGAAATAAGGCACACATATTGGAGAGAGAATTAATCTTGGGGCCAAGAAGATGTCTAGTGCATTCTGGCTATGTAAATACCAATGGAATCACAAACCCAGTTGCTATTTCAAACCTTTAAAGAGCTTTAACGAAGTATCTTACAGTTTTGATCTCCTTTGATCCTTAAAATAATGTTATAAATAGCACAAATATTAGAATCCCCATTTTACTGATGTTAACTCCCCTTCCAGGCACACAGCTAATTGAGCCCAGGTCTGACTTCAAGTCCATTGTCCCTTCTAGTATAGATGCTGATTCCCAAAAGGGGACCATAAGGAAAGCTTTTTAAATTTAGAATGAGATAGAAAGGGCATGACATGAAATGAATTGTGGATAAAGCATATACTCATTGAGTACAAGTGGGTTTTTAAATATAATTCTGGTCACAGGATTATTATCCTTTGTACATTTGCTTACAGGTTCAACATCCAGGTATGTCCGATGCTCCTCTTCATTTGGGTTTAACCCATCTATAGGTTCTGGCACATCTGGGCTTGCATGTAGAAAGTGAGGAAGTGAAATGTACACTGGCTTTTCTGGAAGAAAGGGCAAAAAAAAAAATGGTCATTGATAAGACCATTTCCTTTTTAAACATCCACAAAAGCTGCCACAACATAAATCATTAAAATAGAAAATGAACCTTTGCTTCCCAAGCCAAACCAACAGGAAAAAAAGGTAAAGCATAATTTTTCATGCTAGTGTCAGAAAATAGAGTTCAGAAGTGTCCTGCTGAGATTAAATGTTGTAGGATGGATAGAGCATTGGTCTCTGAGTCAGGAAGACTTAGGTGGGTTCTTATACTTAGAGGATAGGTGATCCTATGCAAGTCACTTAACCTCTTAGTATAGCTAGGGAACTCAGTAAGACAGAAGGTTGCAATGCTAATCTACATTTGTAGTTCTCTACATGGATGAATTCATAGCTCTGGTCAAATAAATAGTCCCTTTACAAGAAGGTAACTGACTACAGACAAATTGATGTTCATACTTCAATGGATCCATGATCTCATCTTTGCAGATACCTTCTTCCAAGGGCATTTGGAGAATACAACAATCTATCTATACCATATAATTCTTTGTGATTGTTTTCCATTGTCTCCCATGTGAAAATGTTGTGTTAGAGGGCACCTGGGGATAATTGAAAGTGTTGCCCAACTTCCTAATGCTACCCACTCTTTATATAACTAATAAACATAATGTTTTAAGGTTTGCAAAACACTTCACAAATATTATTATCCTCATAACAATCCTGGGATTATTCCACTTTACAGATGAGGAAATTGAGGCAGACAAAAAAAAAGACAAAAAATAAGCCTATGGTCAAACAGAGAAAATCTTGCTTGTTTGAAGCAAGATTTGAACTCAGGTCTTCTAACTCCTGCTCCAGTAATATATCCACTGTGGAACCTAGCTAACATAATTTTGTTGTTTTTCAGTCACGTCCAACTCTTCATGACACTATTTGGGGTTTTCTTGGCAAAGATACAGGAGTGGTTTGCCATTTCCTTCTCCAGCTCATTTTACAAGAGGCAATCAGGATTGAGTCACTTGCCCAGGCTGGATTTGAACTCAGGAAGATGAGTCTTAATGACTCCAGGGCCAGCACTTCCCATTGTGCCATCTAGCTGTTCCTATAACATCAATAACACAATGAAGTGTATATTCTCAATCCTTTCAGGACAATTTTGAACTCTGATGATGTGATCAGCTATAGGAAATCCTGCTTATTTCCTTCTTATTTTCAATCAAGGATATCAGGATACATTTGTAATCACATTATAATTCTCATGATAATCTTAATTGAAGTAAGAAAGTAGGAAAATCAGTCACTGAACTGATATCCTCTCAATTAAATAAATAGTAAGTGCAGGGTATTTTAGCAAGTCACTTTGCATGTTCCTCTTTTACAGGCATTTTGAAAATTGACCTCAATGCTCTCAATCATATCACCTTTCTAACTATTCTTCCTGACTTTATTTTTTTTTTCAATGACCTGGCTACTTTCTCATTCAGCACACTATGGAATGAGATCTCAGTGTCCAAATATGGTGAATTTTACCACTCTTAAGAATGAGCCTAGTTTTTAAAATTATTTCCAAAGAAATTTGCCACTACTTCTATTAGATGACACTTGTGGTTGTAGTTTTTTTGATTCGAACTAATAATTTCAAAATGTGAAAGGAAATGGAAAAATTATGTTTTAAAATGAACTAGTGAAATTTTCAGGAAATGATCTGCTCAGAAATTGGAGACTGGACTAGAGGACCTTGATCTCCTTTTATTTCCTTGTTCAACTTCTCCTCCCACCCCTGGACCCTCCACACATGCTTTAACTTTCTTCCTCCCTCCCCCCAGATTTCTGGTAGTGGAATAATTTTATATCTATAACTATATCTATATCTATAGACATAGATATATAGATATTGATATATATTTGCAAATGCATATTGTATATACACACATATATAATGTATATTGTATGTACACGTATATGTGTGTATACATATGTATGGATATATATTTACATGTATATATGCAATATACATGATAAAGTAGGGGAAATCCACAAGTAGATTCAGAACATAACGTGTGATTGAAAAAAATTATTATAGAAATATTTTGGAGATAAATGAATTTGACCAGCAATATAATTAAAAAATCAGAGAAATAAGATACTCAGTAAAACATAGATTCAAGTCTTATCTCTGATTCATATTTTCTACAGAAACATAGGAGACTTAATCTCAGTGCTGCAGGTAACTCTCTACAGGTAAAAATTATTGATTAATTCTAATCTGTATCGCTGGAGAAAACTTCACATCAGTATTTCTGTAACCTAATAAAATCACAAATCCAAGGAAAAAATAATAACAGGTCTACATAATCCATGGAGTTGTGGCTTAGAGAGTGAACAGGGTAGCTGGGGCAGGAGAAGATGATAAAGAAAGCTCAAATGGAAATGGGCAATGCATTAAGCACAAGATAAGTAAGTCAGAGACTTACTTTCATTTTACTCTCATCCTAAATGATACATTAGGTAAACAAACAACCACTTACACCATAGTAACTACTCATTTTCCTAGAACATGGTAATCCAATTTTAAATGTGGAGCCTTGCCTTCAAACAAATATTTAAATTACTGTTCTCTACAATTTTTATCATTTCATTCCATTCAATTTTAGAAATTTGAGATATTCTGGGAAAAATAAAGTAAATTCTGGATGAGTAGTGCTATCAATTTATAATGGTAATATTTCACTCACTGGCTTTGCAGCTGCTAATGTCCAGAACACCAGCTGATGTGCAGTTCTTGGAGATAATTTTTTCTGTGCAAAAGCATTCATTATCTGGATTTACAGTAGGAGATGCAAATGCTTTAGATGGAAGGACAAATCGGTACATTGGGATCCCTTTCAGATTGATCTCGTTTTCAAATTCAGCATAGATTGACCTAAAAGAAGAAAACATATTACTTTGTTCCAGACATACTTGAAATTCACTTTTCACATGTTCTTACGTTTCTTAACAACTTTGCTCTTGGCTAGGGTAACAAAAGACTCCTGTGAAATTTTTAAACTTTGCCTTATTCAGTGATGGTAAAATGTGGTTATGAAGTGTTGCAGACTTACTAAGACCTAGAACCTGAAAGTGAACTACTTTTTCTTCTTGTCAAAAAAGAGAGGACATTTCAAAATTCTGAATTAGAATTCTGATAGGAATTTTTATACATATATCCTATATAATGGGCATATATCGTTTTAATATGTTTCTTCAGGATAAATGTTGTTTGGGGAGAAGTGCTTGTTTAAAAAACAAGACAAAACAAAGCCAACTCTGAACTAAAATGCCACCAAATAGATTAGCATTGCTCCTCAGCATTTGTGAAAAACTCTCTGAGGTTCCTTTAAAAGGATACTTGTTGCTGGACAGCAGTGTTGGATTTAAAACAACAATAATAATGGTAAGTTAAGGAAGGAGAAAATAATTTTCTTTTAAACTGCCAGCAGATGACACTCTCCTACTTCTGAGATCAAGGCAATCCACCCCGAACTCCTTCAGCTCTCTTCCTCTATACGTCAGAGCACATTTTTTAATACATTTTCTTATCTACAGGGAAGAATGTGTCTTCTCTTTGTAAATGTTAACCCCTCACCCTTGAAAACTTATCCCATCTCCTTCTATAGGATTGGGTTCCAACAATCCTACTCTCTCCTGACTAGTCAATTTCTCCTTCTCCATAGTCTCTTTATCCTCCATTTACAAATATGCTTATATTTCCCTCATCCTAAAAGACCTTGCCTTTATTTTTCCCCTTTCATGGCCAACATTTCTTGAAAAAATTGTTCCATGTTCAGTGCCTCTACATCCTCACCATTTATTTAACCCTCAGTCCCTTAACATCTATCTTCCAGCCCTATCACTCAAGTGAAATTGTGCTTCCAAAGGTCAAGAACTTCATGTTAGCCTTTGTCAGTGCCCATCCTCCTTTACTTTCCAATGGTATTTGACCCTGCTGATCAATCCCTCCTTGTTTAGTTTCTATCTTTTTTCCATGGTGCTGCATCATCCCAGCTTTCCATCTGCCTCTCTACTTCATTGTTTCATCTGCTGGTATTGCTTTCCCCTTCTTACCTCCAAATATATAGGCCTGTCCCAAGGCTTTTTTGCTCATTCCTTTTTCCCCACCCCCACTTCTTTATGTACCCCTCCTTTGGGGATCTCATCTGCTCTCATTTACTCCCAATATCACTTTTATTCAGGTGATTTCCAAATCACCATCTTTCTTTACAGCATGATTTCTAACTACTCACTGGCCACATCTCCCTGGATCTACACCTAGAAAACCAAGTTCAACATGCCCCTAGAAAAATGGCTTTGCCTTTCCCTCTGATCCTGTACCTCTTCCTGACTTTCTCATGTTTGTTAATTAAACCATATGTTCCCAGTCACACAGCCTTGGAACCTTGTATTGCCTTCGTCTCCTCCCTTTCACTTCCCCACATCCAATCAGATGTCAGGGAATGTTAATTTTCCCTATCACATCTCTTGTAAATTTGTCTTTTTCTTTCTAAGTGCCACTATCCTGGCAGAGAAACTTCTTATCACAGACCTGGGCTAGACTTCTAACCTATTTCTTTTCCTCCACTTTCACCCACTATACACACACACACACACACACACACTACTTCCAGATTGATATTCTGATTCAAACATCACTCCACTGTACAAGATGATTTAATCATATCCTGCTGACCAATAATTTTGATTAATCTTCTTAGTTTAGCATTCAAAGCCTTTCGTGGTCTGGCTCCAGATTCCTTTCTAGCCTGATTCTACAAAACATCATGTAATGCATTATCAAGCTGTTATAACACTGGCCAAGTTATCCTTGATTCCTCCTTAAGCATCCTGAGCCTTCCTGCTTTGCCATATTTTTCCAATACTTAGAATGTTGTCCCATTCCCCACCCTTAAATATCTAATATCTACCCAATGAAATCATACATATGTTATACTATTGGTTGGTAGCTGTCCCTCATGCTTTGCATTAACTCCCTTATCACCTGCCTTCACTTCTTACAATCCCTAGTTTCTTCAAAGGTAAGTTCTCATGTCTCCTTCTATATGAAGTCTTTCCACATCTCTTCCAAATTATCTTGTATGCATTTTGTATACAATTTGAATGTACAAACATATGTACATGTTATCTTTCATTGGCTAGAATTTAAGCTGCTCAAAGACATGGATCTTTTTTTTTGTCTTTTTATCTCCTGTACCTAGCACCTAACACGTACCTAATAAATGCTTGAAAATTGATACAATTATTTCCTCAGTCTTTTTATTTTTTCAATAGATGAATTGGGTTGCTGGGTACATGGCTTGAGAGGGAGAAAGGGAGGTAGTTATATCAAGACCTAACTCCCATGTTCCCTCTTCCATAAAGGTTTTCCTAATTTTCTAAGCCATTTCACCTCAGATGTCCAATAACCCTTTCTATCTCTCTTTGTTCTAATTTGTATTATGGTCACGTATGTATAGGTCTTACTTTCCCTACTATGGTATAAGATTTTGGGAGGTATGGATATCTAATCTATGAATGTTCTTCAGTGCCTTTCACAGTGATTTCTGCATAATACTTGCTTCATAAATGTTAGCCATGTCTTAATAGAAGACACAAATTTGACAAAGACATTCTGAGTTTCATAAACCTGAAAATGCATTGATCAAAGAGAAGAATGGAAAAACATCTGTGACCTTGCTTCAAATGATCCAAGAATTAATTTTTCTGATCCTTAGAGAGAGCAAGCAAAACCTCTCAAATTGTGTGTAATTTGGCACCAGGCACTGTAGGAGATACAGAAATAAGACAATCCCTGACACCAAGCTGCTTACAGCAATCTAGGAGAAAAATATTATTATGTTTCTTTAAATATGACCCATTAACATGGTATTGTTCACCTTATACTAATCATTAGGGGGAAAACTGAATGTAATTCTGAAGTGAAATTCAAATACTCTTAGTCTTACCTGCAAATATCAGAGGAAAAGAATCTTAATATCCTGGACTTCTCCACAAAAGGAGGAAATGAGGCTGCATCTGTTTTTAAAACAATAGAAAATAAAGTGGAAAATTAAGATTTTTCTGTGTGTATTATGTGCATGCTAGGAAAAAAAATCCTTTCATAGACAAAACCTAAATTCATTAGTTTTTATGTGTGAATTAAACTTTTTTCTCCTGTTAAAATGAAATGAAGACATTTTAAGACATAAAAAAATCATAAATTTTTCTTATAAAAATTAGAAAGTGGCTAATTGTGGTTGTTAAAAAAGAAAAAAAACTTGAGAATATGGTTGACAGTTATTGACTCACTGAATAAGCATTTTGGTTGCCTCAGACTTTCCGCTAGAAGCTACTACATATTTTTGTTAATGTTTTGTTTGCCCTAGAATCTATTATATAATTATTGAAAATAGGTATAAAACTCTCACTAGATGCAAGTCTCTGGTTTAAGAATTGGGAAATTTAACTAGCAAAAAACAAAACAAAACAAAACAAAAATAACAGAGTCCATATGTTTACTCTCCCAGAAGTAACTTAGATAATTATTGACTACGTAGCATATCCAAGGCACTGCTGGTAAAATGCATACATATACATACATATGTATGAACTCCTACAAAATTATACACAACAAAGGAGAAACCATTCATTATTTTTGACCCAAGAAATCAGTCTTCCACTTAATATAATGCTATTACCAAGACTGGCCACCAATTAATGGCCATGATTAAAGGAATATACTATCATTGATGATTAGTCCTGACTTTTCCTCTTTCTCCCTCCTCCCCATCTTCATTTTAGTGTCTAGATTTAGAAAATGTTAAAGGAAATAAATGATTCTTTGGCACATTAGGTAGCAATTAGAAATGCTTTGCGATCTGTAGTTAATTTGGACACTTCAGGGAATAGAGCTATACAATGACCTTCTCGATAACTATGTCTAATTAGTAAAGGCAAATTTTACAATTGTGATGCTGAAAGAATTGCAAACTAAGGAAATAGTATTAATGCATATGTCCACTAGTTGCTACAAAGATTCTTATCACACCTGATGATTTTACTTTAGGATGAGACTATTTTAACCTCATCAAAGAGGGCAAAGGAAAAAGTTTCCAGTGCAAGAATGGCTGTTGAAAACTTGTTTTCCTAGGTTTGGGTCCCTTAAGGGCTGTTACTAAGAAAATATCCTCCAAGGACTTAGTCTTGGTCCTCTGTTCTGGACCCATCTCTCTCTCTCTCTCTTTCTCTCTCTCTTTCTTTCTTTCTTTCTTTCTTTCTTTCTTTCTTTCTTTCCTTCTTTCCTTCTTTCTTTCCTTCTTTCTTTCCTTCTTTCCTTCTTTCCTTCTTTCCTTCTTTCCTTCTTTCTTTCTTTCTTTCTTTCTTTCTTTCTTTCTTTCTTTCTTTCTTTCTTTCTTTCTTTCTTTCTTTCTTTTTCCCATTAGTGATGTTGTTAGGAAGAATTAGAACCAATAGATAGAACTACCAGAAAGAAGAAACAAAACAAAACAGAAGAAAAAAAAGAGCAAATAGTATGCTTCGACCTGCATCCAAACTCCATAGTTCTTTCTTTAGATTGGGATAGCATTTTCCATCATCAGACTTTTGGAGATGCTTTGAGGAAATAATGTTATATTCAACACTTCTTTAGTCTTATATTTTTCCAACTGAGGTGACGAGACAGGGACTGTTCTTGTGATTTCAGTATTATAAGGAACTCCTAATGAGGCAAGTTGGCATTTTCCCTGCAGCTTTTAAGTCAGAAAGTGGCATAGAGCACCAAAAGATGGTACGTTATAGGACTTAAGCTTGGATCTTTCTGACTCCAAGGCCACCTCTCTATCATGCTGTCTCCATGCTACCTCTGCTTAAAATTTGACAATTTTGTTCTTTTTTCTTCCTCTCCTGACTCGTGCTTTACACTGACCATAAGATTATTGGGTGAGACCTACAATAGAGCATTCAAAGACCCATCAAGTACAAGCCTCTCATTTGAAAGAAAATAAACACTGAAGCTCAGGGCAGGGAAATTAATTGACTTCCTCAATAACACAGGAACTAAGCATCAGAGGCAGAATCTGAACCCAGAATTACTGACTCCCGAGTTAATATCCTTCAAATGGAACCCTGATAAATCCCTGATTATGGATAAATCTTTGGCATTAATTTCCTTAACAATAATGCCTACTAACTTCCCAAAAACTAAAAGCTCTGCTCTAGTTCTTATTGCCTTATACAATTATGTTACCTCTTTTTATCAACTTAAACCTTCCATTACTAGTTTTCTGGCTCACTTGTTGACACTGAAAAAGTTTAGAATGTCCAATTTTAATGTATCTCTTAAAGATCAGATACTTACACTATGGGAAAAATATATTTCTCCATAATTTTATTCATCCCCTCCCCCCTTATCTCTAGCCATTTAAAATAGATGTGCCCTATTTTGCCATTTCATTCATTCTTCCTTGGTTTCAAAACTCAGATGGAAACATATTTGCCTTTGAATAATTATTTTGATTTTCTATTCTTTCAAGTTCATGTTATTATCTCTGTAAGTTTTTTCAAAAGATATGAACACAAATTAGTCAACTACGCTAACACTTCCACATTCTATATAGCAGTTACTAGGAAAAGGGTTCTTTTAAGTAAAAAAATGAAAGGGTTCAGGTAAATGTGTGTGTTCATACAGGTTTGAGCCTTTGTATGGCATCACTAGATGGCCAAAATGTTCAAATACTTACTAAAATTCTTGCCATTAATATCCATCCTTACCTGTGCCATTGATCATGTCACAGTAACCCAGCCAATATGAGAGATTCCTAGAATAGAAAATATTCCAATGAGCTGACATAAGTTACCTTGTGTGTATCTCTTTTGCAAAAAAAAATATTTCAGATTTAGTGAGGAGAGCTGTGAATGGCAGACTACAGAATTCTAACTGGTTAGAACATCTAATACTTAGAATAGGCAGGGAGAGCTATGAAATGATTTTTATTTGCATTTTTAATTATAGTTGGAAAATATGGGTGAAGGATATGAAAGTAAACTTGGACTGCTATAGGTTAAAGGAAAACCATCAGAGAAGTTAAGTTTTTCATGGTGAAACTACAAAGTACACAATTTCTACTGTTTTTTTTTTTAAATTTCTGTTCTAACTGGGATGTTTTGCAGATAACACAGAGAATTGATTTATGCCAAACAAAAGGGCATGGACAATATAGAGATTTTATTTGAACATACATGTGATGCTTTATGTATTACATATCTACTTTGGTTTTCTACCAGACCTGCAACTTCCACTGGTAGAATGCCTCGTGAAGAAATTCCCTCTACCAGTGAAGATAAAACACCACTTTTGAACTTTGAGTCTTAGATAACTGTCTAAGATACTAAAATGTTAAGTGAGTCAGGACTTGAACCCATGCCATCTTTCCACCACACCATATTGCCCTTATTTCTAAATTTTATAGTTCTGTTTTCTTCTCTATCTACCTTGAATCTTTCTGACATTGCATATAAGATCATAAAATCAAAGATCTAGAGATGGAAGAAACTTTAGAGGCCATCTAATGCTACCCTTCCATTTGGTAAATGGGGTAACTGAGGCCCAGGAAAGTTAAGGGATTTGTGCAGGGCTAGTAGGGCTTCTATAAAATGAGCTGGAGTAGGAAGCGGCAAACCACTTGAACATCTTTGCCAAGAAAACCCCAAATTGGGTCACGAAGGGTCAACATTGCCGAAATGACTGAGCAACAACCACAAGCTGTTAGGAAACTTTTCATCTCACTGAATCTAATCCCATGTCTATGTTTTCTCTTTGCTCCTAGTTCTTTGCTCTGTAAGCATAAGTCTAATTTCTCTTCCACATTAAGATCTTTCTAATAATTGAATCTTATGCTCCTTGCTTCCCCCAAATTTTGTCTTTTCTTGTCTTAACAAATCATTACAAGAAATTTTGGGAGTCTTTGCATGGATTCTTCCTTGTTGATCAATACCCTTCCTAATTTAACTCAGGTTTCCAATGAAATCAGGAGCATTTTGTCTGAGACTCTGCTAATTGGTGGAAGGAATGCTGGTGTGAACCTTCTTGTGTGTGAAGAGTAGATTTAGTTGGCAGGAGAGCTATAAGGAGGAGAGACATTCTTCATTCCTTCCTTTAGTGGTACCCGCTTTTTTTTTTTTAAAGGATAACTGACTAATGGGAGGAGAAAGAGAAAGGTTCTTGTGGTCATACGGGGAGGCCAGCTACTCTTCACGACCTTGATCTCTACCTTGCTTCTATAGAGACCATGGAGAATTTCCCCTTGGTCGAAATTAGGCCCTCTTCTGAATGAGTGTGATTTTGCTTCCATTTGAAGAGTTCATTCACACTTGTGTATTTTATGGTATATTCTAATCTATGGAACTATTTTTTTTGTTTTCAATTTACTTTCTATTTACTCTCCACAATTTATTTATTACTTTCTATTTACTTTCCATTCACTATTTGTAAAGGTCTTTGGTGTAACTCTCATATAATAGAAATGGTTCAGACTAGTAGGTAAAAGTTTTTGGTGTCTTTCTCCTTAAGAGGTAGTGGTCTGTAAAGTACCCCTAGACCAGCAACATTTAAGTAGGCAGATGGATATAATTCTATTCTGTTACTTCCTCTCTCAGAGGAGAACAAAGAGGTCATATTTGTGACTCCTTCTTATGTTCCCTCCAAGAAAAGAATTAAAGTATGCCTTCTAGATGTATAGGCAAGATTCCAGACATATTCAGTGTTGCCTCCCCTGAAACTTTCAACACATCCCTGTATACTTACACAAATTAAGCACATGCCTACACTCAAATGTGGTGTTTAGAACTGAACATGATATTCCACCTGTGGTCTCACCAAGTCAAAGCATAGCAAGACAATAGTCTTCTGCATACTGAGCACCATGTTCCTCTTAATTTGTACTAAACTCACATGAGTTGCTTTTTTCTTTTTTTTGGTTATCATGATGTATTAATGATATACATCAGCTTTCAGTATGCTAAAGGCCTCCCTCTCCCAGGTTTTTCTGATATAAACTTAAAAAACAAAAACAAGGTATATTAAATATGTTTTGAAGTAATCATATAGTCAAGGAATTAAAACATTTGCCTAGTAGAGTGGAAAATATGGAGCAAGTAAGTGATCAATTTCCTTCTTAATGCTGTATTTCTCAGCTAATACAAGATAAGAAAAAAGAGGCATGTTTTCTATCTCCAAATTTAAATTAATATTATACAGATAGATTAGAAATGTACTTAGAAATTAGAAATTCTAATGCTTCTTCCATACCAATTCTATTTCTGTACTATCAAAAGAAGATATTGTCTTATCAATATAGAAATACTAGGTCACTTTTTCATAAGTGAGTTTTATAAGCTTTTCATATCCTTTTTGGCCATGTGTGGCAATATGAAAAAGCCCAAAGAATGGCATTTCATACTTTTCCTTTTAATTCTAGAGAAGAGGACTACTTGATAGCCAAATCTAACTTGTCAATCATCTTTGGTGGCACAAATCCAGAGGGTAAGAGTAATCTTAAAGGGATTCTCAGTGGCAGTACTTCATGTAAGAAAACATGATAATTCACTCAATTTTGTTGAGACAAATTCAAGATGACTCTAATGTTAATAAATATATCCCAATTTTTGTGGTACCCTCAACAAAGTTCAAACCAACTCATTGAATTTTTTGTACATAAAATAAATTTAACTGTTCATTCCAATTTGTCATTTTTCAGCTGGCTATTTTTTTTTTAAAGCAACAATTAAAAAAAATTAGCTCAAGAATTAAGTTTGTACTTAGAAAAAAATGATTATCTTTAAAACCTCCCTACATAAACCACCCTTCAAAATGTTTTAGACATACAAAAGTAACATGGTCTCAACGAAAAGCCACATACTTTTTATCTTTATAAGTGTCAATTATTGCGACTTTGCTTATGTCATCTTTTCCATTGAAGACTCTGTAAAATCCATCTGCTGTATTGTTATACTGCAAAAAAGACAAAAGAGAAAAATCTGATTCTGCAACAAGTCACTTTTTAAAGCTGTATAATTGTAGGGAATCATTTTAATGAAAAAATGGTAACTTGTATTTAATACACAAACTAAGACAACTGAAAATCTTCAAGATTCAAGATCCATGGGCTACTATATTTGAAAAAAAGCACTCTAATCAGCTTGAAAAATCCAAGATCTGAAAATTAAATAGGACTGTTTAGTTTGGAAAGTACACTAATTATTTACTAGTATAATGAAAATAGGAGAAAATAGAAAAGAACTATGAAGGAGGCAGGAAACAATATAAATTGATAGGAAACAGATTTGAATTAAAAATTGAAATGAAATAATATGGAAAAAGACCAAATTATAATCAAGACAGTTTGTAATACATGATAATGACTATATTGGGTGTTAAAACAAAAGGGTCAATTGTATTCCCTGTTCACTTGGAATCAGTAGCCTAACTCTGATGATTTTCCTGTGTTTGTAGCTGTTTCAATTATTTCAACAATACATTTCCTCCTAGGAGGTCTTAAAATATCTATGGTACTAGTTCTCTTTATAATATAACATTCAAAGTCATGATGATTCAAACAAATATTAATCAATTTTCTTTACCCATCCACAAGGTATACTGAACTCTGAATATTTGTTACTTACGGGGTAGAATACACCAACTGTGGTATCAATGGGGTAGGGAACCAAACTTAGGAATGGATCTTGATAGCCCCACAATAGTTCTTTCAAGGTTCTGACTTGGAACATAGAAGATTTTGACTTCTTGATAAATGTGTTTAATACCATTTGGACAAAGGAGTTTGGATACAGAATGGGTGCAGCCTGTAAAAAAAAAAATTAAATTAAAATTTGACAAAGAGCACATTACAATAAACTTTAATGGAATTGGCAGCATTTACTTAAGACTGCTGCCATATCTTGCCAAGACCAAAAGATTTAGGTCACCAAATCCACTGAAACCACTGTTGCTTGAATCAACATAACTAAGAAATCAGAATATTTTAGCCTCAGTAATTATTGCTGCTTGCTGCAGTCAATACTATTCATGCTTTTGTAATCCAGCTGGTCACCATATGACTGGTCTGGTAATGTGTATATCCCCAAATGATCATAAATAAACTAACTAGTACTGATTTGAGAGTAAGAGGAGGGAAGTTAGATTTAATTTTCTGCCACTTGTTACCTATTTGGCCTTATGTAAGTTATTACCCTCTTGGGGCCTCAGTTTCTTTATTTGTAAAATGAGATTCTTCTTTATCATCTCTGATTGTGGGTATTGCCATTTATAATAAAACTGGATTAAGATCATTTTGATAATATAGATATAGGTTATACCTATATGGCATTTTCTTTCAAAGACTTCTGCTACATTATCATATCAGAACTTAGATAATATTTTATAACTCATAGAAACATTAAAATTACTCATATATAATTAGACATCTGGGAAAAAGTAATTATGTCCCTATGTACAAATAACCTTCAAACTGAGAGAAATAATAGCAGATAACACTTATCAAAAACTTGGGGAGAGGACATGAATTACATATTTTTTTCAAAAATAGAAAGAGCTATCATGAAAGAAAGAGAATTAGATTTATTGTTTGTTAGTCCAGAGGAGAAAACTAAAACTAATGTTCAGAAGTTATGAGAGTAGATTTGGGTTTAATAGAGGAAAAAAAGTTTTTTTTTAAACAAATTAAAATGATTCCCAAATGGAATGTCTCCCTCCTTTTGAGTATTGAATTCACCCATCATTGTAATTTCTCAAACTGAAGCAAGATGGTTACTTGTCAGGCATGTGATAGTGATGACTCATGTTTTGAGTGGGTGGGGGTGTGGAGTAGGGTAGACCAGGAATATAAGATTCCTTCTAATTCTAAGATCTCATGACTCAATTAGATAGATACTGAGATAAATTATGATTTGCTCAGGGTTCCAAAATATAGAATTCAAGGTACAGACCCAGTATAGGCTAACTATAGAGATTAACATACTGGGACCAAGTAGAAAGCAAAAAAAAAAAAAAAAAAAAAAGACAAAGGAAATAAGTTCTATGTCCTGGAGGAGGGTAGAATGAAGCCTATAGACAATTTTATCCTTACACTGACTATTATTTCCTTTTATAATACTTTCTTTTTTTTTTTTTTTGGCCATTGGGATTAAGTGACTTGCCCAGAGTCACACAGCTAGTAAGTGTCAAGTGTTGGTCTGAGGCCAGATTTGAACTCAGGTCCTCCTGACTTCAGGGCCTGTGCTTTATCCACTGTGCAACCTAGCTGCCCCCTATAATTCTTTTAAATACCTTGCAATTGGCATCTATTTTCTTCTTCTTCTGATCTATTCTGCATACTAATTCCTGAAGTTATACCATACCTACTCCAAAAGTAATAAACTTGTTATTCTTCTTTCTACTTTCATCATTTTACCTCCATTTAAAATATATTATTAGTTGTTTCTGACTATAGAATCGAGTCAAAACTCCCCACCCTGGCATTTAGTAGTCTCCAAAGCTACACACGGTATGTTTACGCAGTTTCATCCTCCACTTCTTTCTTAATTGAGCCTTTAAATCTAGCCAGAACCTAAATACACCGTGTTTGTGTTCTTATGTTTTTTTAAACTCAGTCATATTACCCCCATCCTTTAAGATCTATTTCCAAATCCAATGAGGCATCACTGTCAAAATTCCAATATTATACACTGGCTGAATAAAAATCTTGGTGTCACAAATTAATAGTTGCAAAGGCCTTGAGGGGTCATCTTGTCCAACTGCTTCATTTTATATACTAGGAAACTGAAGCCCAAGGAAGTTCAATGACTTATGCAAAGTCATTACAGTATAGATGGAATACCCAGATACTTAAATATTTGCAAACAAAGAAAGGAAATAAATCAATAAACTTGAGAAAGGAGGCAAAAACAACCTTGAATAAATCATTATCTCATTTTTGAGGCTTGAATTTATTTTTCTCAAACACCTGTTTTGTTTTTTAAACTTTCCACGCATTAATGATTCCTTTTAAAGACTAATATGTGGGAATTACATTAATACTCATGTGATGAGCAAAATGTGTTATATCAGACTATGAATTTTTTTCAACCTGTTTTGAATCAGAATCATTTTAACAAGCTGACTTGAATGGAGTCGAAGGGGATTTGGAGACAAATTATATTATTACTCACTATGCCACCACCCCACCCACCCCCTGCCCCATCCCGATACACGTACTGCAACTGCAAGATTGAGGACAGTAAAGCTGTCATTTTCTGTCCCAACTGACAGGCTACGTTCAAAGATGGCACCATTGGGCTGTGCAAAAGAAACTGTGTTGTCTCCATGCTGAGTTATATTTTGCTTGGCTAGATAGCGGACTCTGAAAAACAAAATGGAAATCTAAAAAATAGCTTCCTAAGCACACATTATACTAAATACTATGGCATAATCTTCCAAAATTATAAATAATAATCAATTTTACATGTAGAGTAATACCAAGAAAAAATTAAACTATTTTCATATGAATATATAATTGAGTGAAAGCCTAGACTTTATAAAAGATTAGCCACATGTTTAAAAGGATTTCTTTAGATGTATTGAGACTTAGGAGAGGTGGCTTACATAGACTGGGGATTTAATTAATAATAATTTAGTAGATTTGCTGAGTCTCTGGTTTGATTTCTTGGTTAACCCTAATAAAACAATTTTAAACTTGCAAAGTCATTTATAGTATAAAGAGTCACAGTTTATCACCTAGTCACAGCTTAACTTAAATAATTTTCAGACTACTTTCACAGAAATAGCTGATTGTCTAAGAGGCTGCCTGGCATGTTTACTCTGGTAATAGATATTATTACAGCAGACACTTTCATTGGAAGATCTATTCATCCAAGATTATACCAAGCAAGAGGAGAGACTGAAAAAGTTCATATACCTTTTTTGTATCTGAAAATAGCTAATTGAGGAAGAAAAGAGAACTTGGTCTACACCTCTAAGCTATAACTATGTATAAGGTGACTCCTAATCACATGCTCTATTTAAAGAAGATGAGGAGGAAGGTGTTCGTTGACAAATGTATTTACAACTCAACTAGTCCTTTCAAAGATTGGGGCTAAAGGGGGATGGTTAGAAGGGAAAAATTCTCATATCTTGGTGGTCAAGAGTAGTACGGGAGAGATTAAGACCAAGGGAAAAGTTCATATATTGAGTTTAATTTCATGGACTAGCACTTAAAATTCACTTTTTTTTTTCACATATAAACCATAACCTGAAAAAAATCTGTAAGAATAGAAATGTTTGCAAAAATGAAAAAAGGCTTCTTTTAGGACAAAATATTTTGTGCTTGACCATAAAGCACAAAATAAATTGATTAGATTGTCATGGCTATCCCAACATCTGCTTTATTGAGAAAGTGATTATTCTAGAGCTACCAATGCTTAAAATTTGTGGGTTTTATGCCTATGGAGCCAAAGCCTGATTATTCATTATATTTAGGATATGATAGAATTATATAATATCTAAATTTTGAAAGATCAATTGATAGAGATGATATATTTACTATCTCCTTATTAGAAGTTCTATAAATTGTTTAAACGTAGATCATACTGAGGCCTTGCTCCATTCCAGGCAGTTACTTGGATTTTTGAGAATTATATTCATGTAATTTGAGAATTATATTCATGTATTTGAATAGCATTATAAATTGCTATGAATATTACAACATCCATGATCAATTCATTACTTGCATTTTAAAGGAATATATTCATAACAGCAATGAATTATACCTAAATATGAGTTTACTGTTTTTGCAATTGCAAAATCTAGCCAAGAGATGGCACTCTTTAAAAGAAAATGCTGGACTGAAGTAGACTTCTCCATCCTCCAGTTCCTGGGAAAAGGTTTGTAATTACACTATGTATATCTGAATTTGAAGCCTAATATGTATTTTATCCATGTTTCATCAAACTGTGAGTTCAAAAGGAAATGGTAAGCATTGTCCAACTACAAATGGTTGCTTTTATTTTTTTCTGTTTCAGAGTTAGAATACCTTAAAGAGAGTTTGGGTTGGATATAAAAATTTCATAACACCTAAACTTTGAAATAGACTTTAGAGAACCTTAAGAGGTTTATAGAAGTGGACCTTTCTGGTCTACATGCAGTGCTGAATTGAAGGCCAAGAAATGAAGAAGAATGACTTCTTCCCTCAAGGTAACTTCTAAATCTAAATACTGTTACTTAGCTAGCAGACATACTTCCAGTGAGATATAGAAAGCTCCCTTTCGTGTAAGTTGGCTCTGTGGAAATAGGGAAATGTTTTTTTTTTCCCTTTTTTAAAAAAATTTATTTACTTTACTTTAGAAGGATCAAGAAGAGGAAATAGTTGCTACTTTTGCCAGCGTATAAAGAGCAACTATTCACTAACCAAACAGATGTCCTTTTTACTTTTCTGGGAGGTGATTTTAGAGAGGAGGATGAGGAAAAAGAGGAGGCAGAAGAAGGGGAGGGAAGGAAGAGAAGGAGGAAGAAGATGAAGAGGAAGAAGAGGAAGAGGAGGGAGAGTAGAAAGAAAAGGAGGAAGATGAAGAAAAAGAGGAGGAGAGAAGGAAGAGAAGGAAGAAGAGAAGGAGGTGGCACCAGATAAACAGATATAGGTATAACAAAATTTTATACTTTTTTTTGGAGTGAGATTGTATATTTAACATGTATTTACTTAATGCCTATTAAGTGTAAAACACTGTTCTAAGTAGTAAGGACAAAAAAAAAGGAAGGAAAGAATGAAAACTCAACTCTCATCCTAAAGGCCTACTCTACATTGAATACTGTCTTCATTTTTGACCCTAAAAATGATGCCTACAATAAAGGAAAATAAGGAAAAGTAAAATTTGAATGTGAACAATGACTGTGGGCAAATAGGATGCTCAACTATGGGACCAGTTAGGACAGAAACTTTAGAAATAGTTTAGATAGGAATATAAACATCTATGAGGGGGGAAAAAATGGAATTGTAGATTTAGAGACAGAAGGGACCTTTCAGGTCTTCCATCCACCCCAATCTGCAGATGAGGAAATAGGCTTGCAGGGATGAATTGATTTGCCAGAGATCACACATGTAGCAAATAACAGAGCTTGTATTTGAACCCAAACCATTTGATTACAAATTTGAAACACTTTCCACTGGACCCTACCAGATAATGTGGCAGGATTTGGTTTGGGCATCAGAAATACCATATTCTTAAATCCTGTCTTTTATTAAAAAAAAAAAAGGCTTTTATCTCTTTCTACATTTTCACACTTAGACAATGTATGAATAATTTCATTTTATTTAATATGAAGATTAAGTTCAATCACTGAAATAGGAAGCAGAAATTATATTGGAAAGAAAAGTCTAACTAGAAATGAAGAAGCTAAAATGGTAATTGTTACCCTGTCACACACTTCTTGTATTCCTGACTTGTTAGTTACTTTCCCTGAATCTCAGTTTCCTATTCAGTAAAAGGCAAATGTTAGACTACATGCCCTCTAAGATATATGTCTAGCTCAAAGATTCTATTAATCTACTCAGAAGTATATAAAATTACATTTCAGGAGTCCAATTACTTGGAAAAGCAGGGAAAAAATAAAGGAAGGCCTCGAATCTTTAGGCTCTAAAACCAGAAATACGTGCGAAAACTTTTTGAATGGTTTTCAACATTCCAAATAAAAGCTTTATTTCTTTGATTGGAAATCATATAAACTATATTGCATAAATCTTATTTGATGACCTACAGGAAACTAGCATGTACTTAATTTTGGTAAAACTGATTTTTGTTTTTTAAGTCTCTGAGAAGATTTTTCTACTTAGCCCATACATCCAACCACTGAATTAATAAGAAAATATGATAATAAATATGAACAATCCTAGAAGATGGAAAAATGAATTTCTTGCTAATAAATGTATAAAAGAAAACAGTCATTGAAGAAATTTGGATTTAACCAGTTTGATTAAGTTGGTGGGCTTTTAGAACACACATGGTATTTCTTTCTGCTACTGATTAAATTATTGAGGAAATCACCAGACCTGCCTCTTTGGTGTCTTTATTCCTCTCATCCCAAGAAGAAACATGGTATATTCCATTTTGCAAAACAGGCAAAGATCCATAAATACATCCTTAGTGAAGTGGTTGTATTGGCAATGAGCACATAGCATTTGTCATTCAGGAAACATTGTTGTTTATTTGGCTGAAGTTTTCACCTACCTGTAAGTATAAGGGCCTCTTTGCTTAACTTTAATGTTGCTGCTATTGACCATCACCTCCTCTGGATTTTGCACATCAAATATCCAAAACTGTCTGTAAACGTCTGTGCCTGTTTTAACCCAATTTTGATAAGCAATTGTACCTTCCTCAAGGACACATTGCTATGAAAAAAAAAAACCCAGTACATTTGGATTAGTTTGCAGGGAAAAAAAAAAACAAAAAACCAAAAACTGCTGATTAGATCAGTGGGATTTCATCACCCAAATGGAAATCTAATAAAGGAACTTTGTTCTGAGAAAAGTCATCCTGCAATGTTGCCACATACTTGCAACAGAATTTGTTTTAGATTACTGTAGGAACCTTTTCAAATTAACTTTTTGCCAAGAGACAGCAAGGCTGCAATAGTGCAGACAAGTTTCTTTGATTTTAAGGAGATGGTTGTCACAAACAGGATCAACCCTAGAGCAACTTTATTGCAAAATTTCACAACAAAATGTTAAGTAAATTTTGAATATTATATGAGAATTTTATAGCAGTGTAAAAGCTACCTGGTTGTATAATTCATTTAATTCATTTTATATTCATTTCATAATATATTCAATTCATAATTCATTTAGATTAATCACAAGGGGGGAGAGAAGCAAAACAACAACAACAAAATACAGAAATATTTAAAATATATTTCCTTTAAGGAAAAAAAGAACACTATTCTAGAAACATTGAGTGTTAAATAGGCAACTCAAAAGACTTTGAGAAACTTTGAAGAGAATCAGTCATTTACTTTGCTATTTTGAAGAATTGTGATTTCATTGGTGAAGTGTGCCAATTGGTAAGGGAACTCCAATGACACAGATTGCAATCATTAGTAAATGGTTTTTCAGAGTTTTTACAGGCAAAAAAAATGTTTCTGAATTTAGCTATGCCAGCCTTCTGATAAGAGACATATACTCCAAACCATCAATTGAAGCCTATCCAGCTTAGGGTCTGAAGGAACCAACATTCCATTCACCTAGCTTTCCACATCCACAGTCATATGAAGGAGAATTGTAACGGACGATCAAAATCTCAGTAAGTTTCTTGCCAAAAATATCATGTATTAACTTTTCTCTCTTCATATTCAACTCTAATATGCTTTTTCTTTTATTTGCACTAGTCTGTGATCCAAGGTCTCAGGTGAACTCAAATTTGATATTTCTATAGCTTCTATGGTAAATGACATCAGACAGAAGAAGACTTGACAAGTATGGTGTAGTGTCATCATAATCTTCCTAAGTAGCACATCGTGGGGAGAGTATCCATGTTTGCAAATCACATCCACAGCCTCTCTAATCATATTATTTCTCTACATAAACCCTTAAAATACCCTAAAATATCAAAACTATAGTCCCTCAGTGAAATTTAAGTAGTATTTGGTTTAGTCACAGATCTCTCTTTTCAAGTAAAAAAAAAAACATGCATACAATTTTTAAAGAAAATATATGAAAACACTTTAAAATCTGTCATTGTTTTCTGGGAAATGAGAGTGGTACAATTCCTACATAAAGAAAAGGCATCATCAAATGAATTTGTTTGTTGTTCTTAATTAACTTGTCATGAGCACAATCATCATGTGAAAGGGAAAAATTAGTAATTGAGATAGACGATATTACAAATGAGGGGCCATACAAAGAATGCCCAGGTCAGGACAGTTTTATCCTAGAGTTATATGGAAAAAACAAAGAAAGAGGCATCAGAAAGATTCAACCTAAAAAGAGCCATGGAAAGAGAAATGGTTTTATCAAATGGTCTTTTCCTAAGGATTGCTATCATGTGAACTTCTATCTTTCTCCACACTATCTACTCTTTGTACTTCACCTCTAAATGTCTTTCCCATCTTCAGAACCCCTTTCTTGTTGTCCAATGTGTGAGATAAAGGAATTCTCAGAAGGAAAACTAGCTCCAGATTTCAGTGGAAAGTATTTTTTTAAATTCTGTAGTTTTGATCTATTTAGAACTGAATTGGTGGTGCCTGCCCAAATGACCAGTTATAATCTTCTAAAAATGTAACGTAATATAGAGGAGAGATGACTAGAAGAAAACAAAATCAAAAGACTAATGTCTGACTTCTATATTTGCTACTTTTGTCAGTGACATTGGGGAAAAATCTTTTTTTCTTTTTACATAAAATGAAAATAATATTTCCATACCTATCACAAAAGGATTTTTATGAAGAAAGAATTTGTAGACCACAAATAGTTTATAAATGTGAGGTACTATTATTCTTATCATTGTCATGGCAATACAAAGTACTTCACAATTTACAAAACTCTTCCATTTGAGCATCATATGTCAATGATGTAAGTAGGTATTTTCCATGTAACCATTGTGAAAAATTCTAATGATGATGATGATGACCATGACAATGATGATGGTGTTGACTGTGATAGCAGCCAACCCAATATATAGAGAGAAAAAAGAAGAGAGTCAGTGAGAAATAAGAGAGAAAGCATAGTACTGCACTTACCTTAAATGTTTACATTTAGGGAATTGTATAATTTGTGGAATTTGGTTGGTAGCATTAACTGCCTATATCAACCCTGAAGTGGGGAACAGGCCCTCTTCCATTTGGCTCTGTGTGTGCTCACAAACAGGATTCAATGCCACTCTTACTGCCATTGTCATCACTACCCCATTTGTACTTTTCTTATGAATTCAAGTGAAATAGGCATTCATACCTGGAAAAGAACTTAACATCTTGCTGAAAAGGAAATTAGAGCCCACGGAGATTTATTAACTTGTTTAAGATCATGTGGCCTACTAAGTGGAAGAGCCAGCCCTGGAACCCAGTTCTGGTTTCTAGCCCAATTTTCTTCCTACTACATTGGAGCTTGTTCAAAGGTCACTTAAGGAAACAATGAAGAAGTTAAAACAGGAACTAAGGTCTTTCTGATGATTCTGAGGCTTTATGAACTAGATTTTTTTTTTTGCAATTTTGTTTGTTTTCAATTTGCAACTCTTTCCTATATGAAATCACATGGATCTCCTAATTTCTAAATAGATATGAGACAGATATTTGACAATGGAATAGAAGGGAAGTTTGATTTCCACCCCTCTCTGAGTATGAGGCATTTTAAATAAGATATCCAGCCTACTGTGAATACCCAAGTAAATTTTAGTAGAGTCTGATAATAAAGGATCCTGAGCTTGAATCTTTTAGATCAGCGTCTGCCTCTGAACCAAAGTATTCCAACAGACAATCTGGCTTGTAAGGCAGCTGAATCTCAAGCTGCTGACTAATGCCTTGTAGAATTTGGGGAGAGAGTGAATATCAATGTCATTGAAACTTTCACTCCACTTAGTAAGGATAGCTTGCAAGTAGACAGATTATATTGTTATCTATCCTGTCCTGTTTTTTCATAGTTTCACTCATTCAATGTTGTAAAAAGTTTATTTCTCAAAGTAATAGCAACAACAATAATTGTTAGTATTGATATTATGCTATTTATAATTGCAATGCTGATAACAAACATGGTATTAGAATCATATGTTTGACAAAAGTTTGTATTTTTTCTTACAGAATGCAGAATGTTTCACATATGTTATCTTATTTGAGGCTTAAATATTATCTCATTTGAGGCTTACCACTCTGTAAGGTAAATAATGCAAATATAATTCCCATTTTAAAATAAGAAACTCTATATTCATCTAATAACAATAACAACAATAACAATAGGTAGTATTTATATAGCACTTACTAAGTATCAGGCAGTATGCTAAAAGCTATAAAAACTATCCCATTTGATTCTCACAATAACCTTGGGAGATGGTTACTATTATTATCTCCATTTTACAGTTATGGAAACTGTGTTAAACAAATTTGAATTCAAGTCTTCCCAACTCCAGGTCTAGAGCTTTAATCATTGAAGCCCCTAGATGCTTCTAAGGATAATTTTCATCTAAAGATAATTTTCTAGTTTTAGGCAAATATTGAATTACAGGATTTTAGAACCAAAATAAACCAAGTCCAATCCCTTCATTCCACATGTAGGAAATCAGGACCCAGGTCTTTAATGACTTGCCAAAAGTCAAAGAATTATTAACAGCTGAGATTTTCTTGACTTGTAGTCCAGTGATTTTTCCACTTCATGATCGTATCAACTAATATTACTAAGAACTGTCCATTTCATAAGGTATTAAAAACAAACTAAATGACACTAAAGAAAATCCATCTTTCAAAGACAGAGTGGATAGTTAACCTACTAATCAAACTTGTAAATGGACAAGAGAGAATACATATGAATCAATGCAACATCCCACCTCCCAACTCTTTTGGAAAATAGAATAGTCATACATTTATTGCTCTTTTCCCCCTTTTGTTCCGCTACTCAGCCTCTTGTATTCTTGCTTCTATCTGACTTCAACACAACTGAAATTCTCCTTCTTGGGATCTCCTGCAGTCTGCAACACTGCTGACCACCCTGACTCTCCTTCCTCCTTTTCCTTGACACTATTCTCTCCCGCTTCTCCTCATACCTGATGGACTATTTTGTTACTTAGTCATCGTCCATTTTGTTGTTGTTCAGTTGTTTTCAATTGTGTCTGACCCCATTTGGGGTTTTCTTGGTAGAGATACTGGAGTGGTGTGCCATTTCCTTCTCCAGCTCATTTTACAGATGAGGAAACTGAGGCAAACAGGGTTAAGTGACTTGCCCAGGATCACACAGCTAGTAAGTATCTGAGATCATATTTGAACTTGGTTCTTCCTGAATTCAGCTCCAGTGCTCTATGCACTATAATGCCACCTAGCCACCCATTATCCATGGGAAGTAACATGTTAAAGGGAAAGAACATATTCTAGTCAGAAGATCTGGCTTACATCTGGCCCTTTCAGCTTATATTGGTGATATTGGGCAAGTCACCTAACTTCTCTGGGTCTCAATTTCCTAATTCATAAAATGAGGATGGCTAGAATTAAATATCCAGAGACTCCTTCCAGTTCCAGATCTTCTCTTTTCTCTTTATTCCTTCCTTCTTGGGCATAGCATGAATACAGTCATCTCTATATAGATGATTACTAGATCTATATATCTTGTCTTAATCTTGCTCTAGATTTGTAGTTTCATATCAACAATTATGCTTTAGATATCTCCACTTGGATGTCCTGGAGGCTTTTCAAACTCAA